TTTGCATTATATTATAAAATTAATTTTCATCAAAATGTTGACCATTTGGTGGGGTAGCTTGATTTAAATTTGGAAGAAATTTTACGATGTGCAAAGTTTGTAGGAAATAGGTTACTCTCTTCGAGAGTTATCTTGCACATCAGCCAGCCTGACAGTCACGGAGACGGACGGACGGGCGGATATTTGTAAACGAGTCCAATTTGTCTGAAACGGATTTTGTCCAAAGAACCATGGAGTATAAAACCAATATTTCGATGAGGCACATTTTAGCCGTAGCAAAGTATATATACCCTCATTAGCCGTAAGGCGGAGGTTATAATAAAAACATTTTTTCTTAATAAATGCATTAAAAATTATAGATGTACTCTCAAAAAGTCGAGTACTCAAATATATTTCGAAATTCAATTGCAGTTGCACTAAACAAATTAGTAATTTTGCAAAAATATATGTAATTTTTTCCTAATGATATAATGATACGAAAAATCCAATATCTGTATAAAAATTAAAAAAAATCAATCCTTATTTCGGGGGTGTAAGAGAACATAGGTACTAAATGATTCCAAAAGTGTTAATAATGTTTGGTATTGGGTTTTAAATACTTCCCACATTCGCTAACGAAGTAGCGGGTATATGCCAGTATGAAATAAAATGTTAGAATTCCCTGCAAAATTTATAAAAATCGGTTAAGTTGCCGCTGAATTATTTGCATTTGAAATCAATCAACCAAGTATACATACTGTTGGGTGCTGGGCACCTATTACATGAAATTGTAAAACCACACAAAAATGGATTTCTTAACCAGTAAGGAAAGTAGTAAAGTCGGACGGGGCCGACTATATGATACCCTTCACCACTATGGGTATATTACACAGGACTATTAACATGAAATTGGATGAACTAAAATATGTGATATTTTTCTAAAAGTGAATCGACTTAGATCAATCTATAAGTCATTCATTTGTTAAAATGGGACAAATGTATGTAAATCGACTTCAAACAAATATCAATAGGTCATCCGTTGGGCTATGTCTGTACTTCTAGAAAACGCAACTACGTTATTCTATGCTCAATTTTGTACGTTGTGTGAGTTTGATGCACAATTTACTTAAAATCGGACAATTATATATAAGCAATATCCAAATATGAACCGATTTCAAGGAAAACTTGTCACAGGTTAGGTTATACTAATTTCGGTACGTTTTGTTCCTATAAGCTATATATTGGTTCCTTGGTGTGTCAGTTAGTTAAAATCAATCTACAATAGAGGGAAGCTATATCTAAATCTCAACCGATTTTCACGAAACTTGACACACATCATTCTGGATTAAATTCAGTACGCTATGCAACATAAGAACTTTGTACGCTATGCCAAATTTCGTGCAAATCGAAAGACAAATGTGGACTTTAGTGCACAATTTACATTAAATCGGACGAAAATATATATTGGAGCTATATCTAAATCTGAACCGATTTTCACGAAACTTAGCACACATCATTCTGGACCCAATTCAGTACCCTATGCCAAATTTCACAGAAATCGAAAGATATATAGGGACTTTGGAGACCCATTTACCTTAATTCGCACGAAAATATATATGGGAGCTATATATAAATCTGACCCGATTTTCTCGAAACTTGGCACACGTCATTCTTGATCTAATTCAGTACCTTATGCCAAATCTCGTCCAAATCGAAAGATATATAGGGAGTTTGGTGCCCCATTTACCTTAAATCGGACGAAAATATATATGGGAGCTATATATAAATCTGGACCGATTTTCACGAAACTTAGCACACATCATTCTAGACTTAATTTAGTACGCTGTGCCAAATTTCATGCAAATCGAAAGGTATATAGGGACTTTGGTGCACCATTTACATGAAATCGGACAAAGCTATATATGAGAGCTATATGTAAATCTGAACCGATTTTCACGAAACTTAGCACACATCATTCTGGACCTAATTCAGTACTCTATGCCAAATTTCGAGCAAATCGAATTATATATAGGGACTTTGGTGCATCATTTACCTTAAATCGGACGAAACTATATATGGGAGCTATATCTAAATCTGAACCGATTTTTCCCAATTTCAATAGGGTTCGTCCTTGGGCCAAATAAGTGACTTGTGCCAAATTTCATCCAAATCGGATCCTAAATGCGACCTGTACTTTGTTTACAATTTTACATCTACAGACGGACGGACGGAGAGACGGACGGACAGACAGACAGACGGACAGACAGACGGACGGACATGCATAAATCGACTCAGAAAGTGATTCTATGCATATTCTCAAAAGGAACCATGTGTCTATCTCGTTTCCTTTTGCCTGTTACAAACATATGCACAAAGACCTAATACTCTGTACCACAATGTGGTGAAGGGTATAAAAACGGAAAATTTTCTTCGTAAAAAAATCAAAATCGGTAATTGAAGGTTTTTTTCTAACAAATCAATACACAAATATTTCTATTTTTTTATAAAACAAATTAATAAATGTAAAAATAATAATATAAAAAAAATAAAACATAGGTTGCATAGTTTTAAAATATAATTTGTTTTTATTAAAAAAAAACACAGTGTAGGGATTTTCTTGTTGTTCTTTTGGGTGTTTAAAACTAATATTATATATATATATTTTTTTCTTACAAAATAAAACAATATAAATGAGTATAACAAAATTAAAACAACAAACACAAATTAAAAAATTAAGCAAAAGTGTTTGTACGAGTTATACATAATTAAATTTATAGAGAGAGAGCAAAATAAAATCTTAAAAATAATTATTTTGTTTTTGTAATAATTGCCACTAAAAAGTTTAATAAAATTAATGAAAGCATAGGAAGTTTTAGGTTTTTATTTTTCTTAAAGAAAATATAATTTTTAATAAAAATCTATATATTTTTTTAATGTTTTTTGTTTCTGTTTGAAATACAATACACATCTAATAATACATTTAAAAATATAATAATTTTTGTATTTTTTTATAATCACCTTTTTAAATTAGTACACTAAATTTGTTTTTGTTTTAATTTTTTTTGTAATACTACAACAACTAGTGGACAAAATATAAAGTGCTAAAATCTTAATTTGTAGGTTGCTTGTTCGTTTTTTTGTATATTTTTTCATATATATATTTTTTATACACACTTAGAAAAAAAATTATTTGTATGTATATATATATATATATATATATTACTTACTACACTATAACATTTATGTATAAAATAAAATAATACAGGGACTGAAGAGTTATAGAGCGAACAGAAATATTTTTATTGATATTTTTAAATATTTTTAAATTAAAAAAACATTACTGGAATGTTTTAGTTACTCTTTGGGCATCACATTGCCCAGACCTGCAATATCTCTTCAGCCCTTGTATTATTTTATTGTAATATAATTTTTATTTTTTAATATAACATTTTTTTGAGTTACGTATTATTTTTAATTTTTTTAATTTATATCTAAATACTAAATTAATTTATTTTTTTCTAAAACATATTTTTTTGAAATTAATTGCATTTTTTTCTCATTCTCTTTAGTTTTTGTAATTTTCGTTTTTGTTGTTGTTTTTTTTTGTAATACATAAATTCCTTTTTTTTAAACTCAGTCTAAATTCTGAAATTGGTCATTAACTTCTAATAAAAAAACATAGAGTTTTTCTTTCTATTCAAAATGTTTTTGTTTATACCAAACATAACCTTAAAAAACTAAACATAGATTTGAAAATCTTTGAAATATCAGTTTGTTGCATTTAATGGTCGTTTTTTGTAATATTTTTTTGTTTTTGTTGATGTTGAAAAAATAAGTTGAACTTTGTTTTTTTTTTGTTGTAAAGCTTTTTTGTTGTTGTGGTAATCATAGACTTAGTGGAAGTCGGGATTACTTTGAGGGTTTTTGGCAAGCAGGATGGAGGAAGGTGAGAAGTTCTTTATAGAAACAATCTGGAGCCAATAAATTAGGAATTTTTTGGGGCCAATTTTTTTATAGGAAAAAATCAAATCAAGCCATTTTTTCTTTGGAAAAAAATCAGGCCCCAGTTAATGAGGCATTTTTTTTCTATAGAAAAATATCAGGCCTCAGTTAATGAGGCATTTTTTTTCTATAGAAAAAAATCCAGCCTCAGTTAATGAGGCATTTTTTCCAGGCCTCAGTTAATGAGGCATTTTTTTCTATAGAAAAAAATCAGGCCTCAGTTAATGAGGCCTGAGTTAATGAGGCATTTTTTCCAGGCCTCAGTTAATGAGGCATTTTTTTCTATAGAAAAAAATCAGGCCTCAGTTAATGAGGCATTTTTTTCTATAGAAAAAAATCAGGCCTCAGTTAATGAGGCATTTTTTTCTATAGAAAAAAATCAGGCCTCAGTTAATGAGGCAAAAAAAATCTGACCTCAGTTCAGAAACCTCACTTCTGAGGCATTTTCTTCTATAGAAAAAATCTGACCTCAGTTCTGAGGCATTTTTTTCTATAGAAAAAAATTTGACCTCAGTTCTTATGCATTTTTTTCTATAGAAAAAATCTTAGGCATTTTTTTCTATAGAAAAAATCTGACCTCAGTTCTTATGCATTTTTTTTCTATAGAAAAAAAATCTTAGGCATTTTTTTCTATAGAAAAAATCTGACCTCAGTTCTAAGGAATTTTTTCTATAGAAAAAATCTGACATCAGTTCTGAGGCAGTTTTTCTATAGAAAAAATCTGACCTCAGTTCTGAGGCAGTTTTTCTATAGAAAAAATCTGACCTCAGTTCTGAGGTATTTCTTTCTAAAGAACAACATTTGACCTCAGTTCTGAGGCATTTCTTTCTAAAGAACAACATTTGACCTCAGTTCTGAGGCATTTCTTTCTAAAGAACAACATTTGACCTCAGTTCTGAGGCAAAGAGCCATATTTCCATAGAAAAACAAATTCTGATGAATTTTCGGAAGAACTTCAGTTACCCTTCTCTCCCTCCCAATCTGCTTGTCAAAATATACCCATTGGATACCCTTAACCACCTTAAATCAAATGTGACTTCCGATTAGAATGTTCAATGGCTGCCAATAGTTCATGTTTCTGTCTCACATACAACCTCCCCTTTTTCCATGGATTCTGCAAAAGCAGCGGCTTAAAATCATCCCGCAAACATCGTTCACGTGCTCCAATAACTGCCACCAAACAAAAATTATCCAAAGCTTCATTTGAATATATCGGACCATTGCTGCCCTTCAGGACAGCGGCCATATTCAATTGTTTGACGACCAAATTTATAACCTCCCTTGCTGAGGTCTTAGCGGTGACATGCAGTTTCAAACTTGTACCCGATGCCAAACCAGTATTATAGGCTGTATAAACCTGTATTATACCCGATGGTGTATTTTCCGATTGATTCTCTGACACCAAGGTGGGACAACTACTGGCCGTATATTCTTCCGTACTGTTGAGCCTTTGTATATGTCGGCTGGTTGAGGGTTTCGCCAGCGACGTCATATTCTCATCCAAACTTGATGATGTTGAGGTCTTGATATCCGATTGCAGGGCACTCAGTGTGGATTTCAGGTACAAACCGTTGTCACGTAAATTAGCACTGGAGGCTGATTTCACTTTTTCGGCGGTCTTTATCTGTTTGCATTCATATTCGCCATTGTAGTTGACCTTCAACGATTGACTGGAACCTAGGGCGGCTGGGTCCGTCACCAAATAGGGCGCCGAACTGGAAGAGTGTACCGTTATCATGGGTGTCACCGGTGTCGTTGAGGTCGGTGTTATATTTGACGACGTCCGCTTACGTTGTAGACCCTGAATTTGTTTTTGATTTTGTTTGGCTGTTTCACTTAGCGTATCATCCGATCGTGAGGGTGGTACACTGAAGACCTGGCCGAAGTCACTGTTACTTGTGATCACCGAATCATTGGCCGAATAATAACTGTGGGTGGTACAATGGGAGGTTACTGAATCACCGGAATTTTTCCTCAACGAGGGTACCTCGGTGGACATACCCTCATTTTGGACCTGTAAAAAGCTGGTGGTTGTGGTGGGTGTGGTCAGGGTACACGATGTGGTTAGACTGTTGGGTTGATTTGATTTTTGATTGCCCATCGACGAAGTAGCGGCTCCGGTTGGTGTTGTGGCTGCGGATAAGCCGAGATTTTGTTCCGACTTTGAATGTTCTGGTCCCAAATTAGAACTACTGTGGCTTGAGCCTGGGCCAGGCCAGCTGCCACGTCCCGAACCGGATTTTGTAAATTTCATATCTCCACGCATGGGTGGTTGCAGCAGCTGGGCGTTGTTGGCATTGGGATTTTGTTCGGAATTTTGGGCGAAATCCAAAATCTCTTTCATAGCCGCCGAGGGTGGGGCATTTTTATCGCGGGCAAATGCAATAACATCCATTAGCCAACGTACTGCCTTCCAGACGGCATTCAGGCTTGCTGTCAATTCCTGTAATTTGGCCAAACGTTCCTTGGCCGTTTGCAATTCACTTGTGGAGAATGCCTCCCGCTGGGAATGATTCGCCAAGGTGGTATCCAATTCCAGGATACACGATAACCTTGCATATTTTTGTATTATACCCGGTTGGTAGGTTGACAAATGAATCATTTCAAATGCCTGTATACTTAGGCAGGCCAGATCTTCACGTTGCAGCAATAGTTCCGATTGCCCGGGTACCGCACAACTCAACTCCACCGAGGGACATATTATCAAGAAACTGATATCCCGACTGTGTTCAATAACCTCCACATCATATAGGCGATGGGTGGCTGTATCCTGGGGCTTAATGTTCATATAGGAAAACAGTTTATTCGTGGCCGCCGTCAAATCGTATAGGAACAACCGTTGAACTTCAGTTGTGGCTTCCGGATTCGCATTGAATTCCAAAGCCAAACGCATAGGACTACTGCTACGGCGGCCATCCTCCGGCTTACCCTCCTGATTGCTACCGCCACGTTTCAGTACCTGCCATTCCTCAGCGGATATATGACTATTGTCACGTACCTTACAATGCGGCAGGACATTTGGTGTCTTAGCCGGCACTACCACCTGTATCTGATCCATAGAACATTGCATTTTCAGATACCCCAAATAGAGGCCAGGACTTAAACGTTGATGAGCCATCTGATGATATTGAACCTGATCGGCTAGGGATGAAATTAGAATTTCATTGATATTATATTCTTCGTGTATGGCACCGATTTTCTTTTGTAATTTATTCACGGGTAACCAACGCGAATTTAAGATGGATACTTGTTTTTGACTTTTCACCGATTGGATGGAGGTCAAGACCACTGTGCCGTGGGCATCTTTCAACGGTTTGTAATACAACTGACCGAGATCATTGAAACCCAACGCCGATTGCATTTGACAAACAGCGGAGAGGAGTTTTGTACGAAAATGATTGGCGGAGGTAAGATTACGTTCCATATCGGTGCGTAAGGATTTCACATCATCCCAAGTGCAGGCGACCTGAAATAGGGGAAAAAGAACAGAGAAGGGTTTAAGTTTTTTATGTTACAAGATTTGTTAGGACACCAAAAAATGATTTTTTCGGATTATTTTTTTATTTAACCAGTAAGGAAAGTAGTAAAGCCGGACTGGGCCGACTATATGACTCTCTTCACCACTTTGGTATATTATACATAGTCTCCTAACAGCCTTCGCGCTGTTAGGCAAATCAAAAGATATATAGGGACTTTGGTTAAATCGGACGAAAATATATATGGGAGCTATATCTACATCTGAACCGATTTCAACGAAACTTAGCACACATCATTCTAGGCTTAATTCAGTATGCTGTGCCAAATTTCGTGCAAATCGAAAGATATATAGGGTCTTTGTTGCACCATTTACATAAAATCGGACGAAAATATATATGGAAGCTATATCTAAATCTGAACCGATTTTCAGAACGCTGTGCCAAATTTCGTGCATATCGAAAGATATTTGGGACTTTGGCGCACCATATACCTTAAATCGGACGAAAATATATATGGGAGCTATATCTAAATCTGAACCGATTTTCGGGAAATGTAGCACACATCATTCTAGGCTTAATTCAGAACGCTGTCCCAAATTTCGTGTATATCGAAAGATATTTTGGGACTTTGGCGCACCATATACCTTAAATCGGACGAAAATATATATGGGAGCTATATCTAAATCTGAACCGATTTTCACGAAACTTAGCACACATCATTCTAAACATAATTCAGTACGCTGTGCCAAATTTCGTACAAATCGAAAGATATATAGGGACTTTGGTTCACCATTTACATTAAATCGGACGAAAATATATATATGAGCTATATCTAAATCTGAACCGATTTTCACGAAACTTAGCACACATCTAGGCTTAATTCAGTACACTGTGCCAATCGAAAGATATATAGGGACTTTGGTGCACCATTTACATTAAATCGGACGAAAATATATATTGGAGCTATATCTAAATCTGAACCGATTTTCGGGAAACTTAACACACATCATTCTAGGCTCAATTCAGTACGCTGTGCCAAATTTCGTGCATATTGAAAGATATTTTGGGACTTTGGCACACCATATACCCTAAATCGGACGAAAATATATATGGGAGCTATATCTAAATTTGAAAAGATTTTCACGAAACTTAGCACACATCATTCAAGGCTCAATTCAGTACGCTGTGCCAAATTTCGTGTAAATCGAAGGATATTAAAAATATTTATAGAATTTCAAACTCACCTTCATTAGCCAATGATAATCACTGTTCAAGGTGCTCGGAAATGATTCATCGATTTCGATAACCGGTAGGAAGTCTTCACTAGTTACCAATATTTTATCTTCACAATAAACAATACTGGCCAAATAAATACCCCTACGAAAAAAATAATTAAATCAATTTTTTTTTTATTTCAGGAATATCGCCAATGCCCTTACCTTCTCAAATGTTTCTGGAATTTCGATGCCACCGAAAACAACTGTTTAATGGTGGTCTTCTTTTTGGGATTTTTCCGTTGCTGGCTATTGGTGTCCAAAGTCAATTCGGAGACATCGGATGGACGGGCCAAGCGGACAGCGGTAAATAGATTGTCTAGCATACGCTGGCGACCCGTATAACGATCTTCACGATTATTTAAATCACGCCAGCCTAGAGAAGGAATACAATTAAATCAATTAAAATTCTTGGCATTAATTTAAAAAAAAACCGCTTTCATCACAAGGACAATGAGAATGCCAGGAAGCAAGAACAAAAAAAAAAATATTATTCACTCTCTATACTCACTTGACGGTATAACACTGGCTGGCACCGAACACTTATATGGTCCCCATCCTTTAACATTGCCACTGGCCGCGCGTATGAAATAGCGTCGACCCTGTGTCAAGCCCGCAATCTGACACTGTGTACCCATGGTACCGTGAAAGCTACGCCAGTCCATAAGTTCACGTTCGCCCACAACATTACTGAAATCTGCACGAGTTGACCATTGCACTGTAAATAGAAAACAAAAACGAAAAAAAATGAGAAAAAAGTTGAGAATGAGATTGTGAAAATAAATAAAAAAAAACAACAAATGCTTTGTTGTTGTTGGGGTTTTTTCTTTGTATAAATCTGTTGAGTGTTGACATTGTGTGACACCGCAGTGATGAAAGCGGTATCAGACAGCAATTATCCCGAACAACAAGGTAGATGGAGGTTGGTGTTGTTGAACAAAGCACAAAAGGATTCACCGTTGCAGTGATGGACAAATGGACGAACGAACAATTTCACAATTCAAATTATGAAATTTAATATTGTTTGTATTGTTGTTGGAGTTTCCACTTCAATTCAATTTCACCTGTTGTTGTGTCACAGACACTATCCTTTTGCCGGATGGAGTGATTGAGGTGGGGGGAGGACACAATGGCTAGGTATTTGTGGTTTGAATTGTTATGTCATATTTGATATATAATGGAAAATGAATGAATTATATGAATAGATTCGCCCTCCAAGAATTCGTAATGTTACACCCATAATGCCATGTTACTGCCATCATATAGGACATAGACCAAAACATGGACCGATATTGATAATTTTTTGTAAGAACATTTACTATCCTATGAGAACCCAAATTACAGCCAATTCGGTTGGAAAAAATATGAAATTTGTTTGAAAAAGTTCCCAAAATACCGAACAATGTTGATTAATTTTATGTGGGGGCAGCCACGAAAATTGAGGCAATATTAAAGTTTTTTGTGGCTTTATATTCCTTGAGAACCTAAATTATTATATTACTAGCATATGCCTGCAACTTCGTTAGCGAATGTAGGAAATATTTAAACATGTATTAACATATTATTTTATTTTCACAGAAAACGGCATATGTCAGAATTAATATATGAGTACCATTTAGAACCAAATTTCATGATTCGAGCTCTTAAGGTTCACCCAAATCCAAATTTTCCATTTAGCACACATTATTTCCATAAGTACCCTTCAAACATCCAAGAAAACTTCATGCATACCCCGATCCTACACCCCCACAATGATTCCAAATTCAAATTTCAGGATTCCAACTCTATTGGTCCACCCACAATTCAAATTGCACCATATTTAGTACACAGTAGTACGAATTTCCAAAACCCCAATCCTACAACCCCACAGTCATCCTAAATCCATGTTTCAGGATTCCAACTTTATCGGTTGACCCACAATTCAAATTGTACCAAATTTAGTACACAGTAGTACGAATTTCCAAAACCTCCCAAACCAACACCCCCACAGTGATCCTAAATCCAGGTATCAGGATTCCAATTCTATCGATTCACCCACAATTCAAATTGTATCAAATTTAGTACACAGTAGTACCAATTTCCAAAAAATTCTACATACCCCAATCCTACCCCCCATACTGATCCTAAATCCAAGTTTCAGGATTCCAAATCTATCGGTTCACCCACAATTCAAATTGTACCAAATTTAGTACACAGTAGTACCAATTTCCAAAACATTCTACATACCCCAATCCTACCCCCCCCACACTGATCCTAAATCCAAGTTTCAGGATTCCAACTACTAAATTTAGTACATAGTAGTACCAATTTCCAAATCTTCTTACGTACCCAATCCTAGACCTCCACAGTGTTAATAAATCAAAATTTCAAGATTCCAACTCTATCGCTTCTCAATCTTGCACCTCAACAGTGATCCATACTCCAAATTTCATGATTCTAGCTCTATTGGTTATCCTAAAATTCAAATTGTACCAAATTTAGTACCGTTTAGTACACATAAGTGTTATTTTCTTAAACTGAATCCTGACCCCAATCACACACCTCTACATTGATCCTAACTTCAAATTTCATTGTTCCCGCTCTATCGGTTCACCCAAATCCAAACTGTACCGATTATAGTACGATTTAGTACTTTTCGTACACACAAGTAACAAATTTCTAAAACTACGTCCATATCCCAATCCAAAAACCCAGCCTTATCTGTCACCTTTGAACCAAGAGTGACCCTCACCCAAAATTTCAGGATTCTAGCTTCAGCCGGTCGTCTGGGCGTTGATGAATCGTTAAGTCAGTCAGTCAATCACTTTACTCTTTTATTAGTATAGATTAGTACTTTTCGTACCGTTCTAGTACCAATTTCCAAAAACCCAGCCTTATCTGTCACATTTGAACCAAGAGTGGCCCTCACCCAAAATTTCAGGATTCTAGCTTCAGTCGTTTCGTCTGGACGTTGATGAATCGTTAAATCAGTCAGTCAGTCAATCACTTTACTCTTTTATTAGTCAATTAGTTTGAAAAACGTTTCTAAACAGAAAATAATTCATGTTTTATAAATTGTGTTCAGAATGGGTAGTCAATATTTAAATTTCTGCATTTTATGAACACAATTCATTATATTAAATATACTATAGAATTTAATTCATAAAATAAAAAAAAAACAATGAAGTGAATAATGATTTGAAATGAGCCACATAAATAGTATGAAAACAATTAATATTCACAATATGAACATTTCTGCATTTTATGAACGCAATTCATAAAACTAAAAAAATTCTATTAATTTTTTCATAAAGTCAATATCTAAAATAATGCAAAAAATTGTGAAAAAATACGAATAGTTACAGTAATTATAAATGAAGCACATACAAAATATTGCCAACATTCAGATTTCTGCATTTTATGAACACAATTCATAAAACAAAAAAAAATGCTATAAATTAAATCATGAATTAAATTAATAAAATATTGGGATAATAACATTTGTTACAGGAATTTTATATGAGGCACATTAACAGTGTAATAGTGTTTAGAATGTATTGCTATTATTCAAATTTCTGCATTTTATGAACACAATTCATAAAACTACAAAATTCTATTAATTTATCATAACGTCCAAAATATTGGAAATATAAGAATAGTTATAGAAATTCTAGAAGAGGTATACAAAAAGTTTTGCAAATATTCAGATTTCAGCATTTTATGAACACAATTCATAAAACTAAAAAAACACTATAAATTTGTTCATGAATTAAATTAATAAAAATATTGGGATTACAACAACAGGAATTCTAAATAAGGTACATGAACTGTATGGAAATCATGAATAGTGTTCAGAAAGTGTTGCCAGTATTCAAGTTGCTACATTTTATGAACGCAATTCATAAAACAAAAAAATGCTATTAATTTCATTTATAAAGTCAAAAAGAGTGTAAATATAAGAAAAGCTACAGTAATTTTAACTGAGTTACATGAAAAGTGCTGTCCATATTCAGATTTCTGCATTTTATGAATGCAATACATAAATTTATAAACTACTATAAATTAATTAATGAATTAAATTCTAAATGAGGTACGTGAACAGTAAGGAAATCATGAACAGTGTTCAGAAAATATTGTCAAAAAAGTTTTGCAAATATTCAGATTTCGGCACTTTATGAATGCAATTCATAAAACGTACTATTAATTTATTCCTAAATTCATTTCCTAAAATAATGCACAAAATATGAAAAACATAATAATAGTTACAGGAATTCTAACTGAGGTAGAATACAGAAATCTGTACATAAAATACAGATTTCTGTATTTTATGAACACAATTCATAAAATTAAAAAAATACTATACATTTTTTCATGAATTAAACTAATAAAACATTGAGATTTGTTACCGGAATTCTAAATAGGGCACACGAACATTATGGAATTCATGAAAAGTGTTTAGAAAATGTTGTCAATATTCAGATTTTGGCATTTTATGAATGCGAGTCATAAAAGAGTAATATAAATTAATCCATAATATATAGAATAAAAAAGAGTGATTATAAGAATTGCTACATAAATTAGAAATGAGGCATATGTACACTAGGGAAATATGAATAGAATTCTGAAAGTGGAGCCAATATTCAGATTTTTGCATTTTATGAACACAATTCATAAAACTAAAAATACTATAAATAAATTTATAGTATTAACTTTATTTCATATAATAATATAAAGAGGTGGGATTACAAAAATTGATATAGGAATTCTAAATGAATGAATGGAGTTTTGAACAAATTTCTTAAAATAAAAAAAAAATATATATTATGAATGCAAATTACGAACAATTTCATTAATCACAGGAATTCCTAATTATTTAAAAATTGTTTTATTTTATCTTTTTCATATTATATGAATTGTGTTCAGAAAGTGTAGTCAATATTCAGATTACGGCATTTTATGAATGCAAATCATAAAACTAAAAGAATATTATAAATTAATTCATGAATTACATTCATAAAATAATAATAAAATCGTGGGGCGATGAGAATTGAGAATTCAGAAAACAAGAAACTATGAACTATTATTAACCCTCCATTTGCCATATTATATAAATAATGCCCAGAATGTATTGTCAATATCCAGATTTCTGCATTTTATGAACTTCATTCATAAAACTAAAAATACAACGAATTTTGTTCATAAATTCAATAAAATAATAAAACTGGTAGAGTTATAAGGAATTCTACTAAGATGTGTTTGAAATGAAATATCAATGGAAATTATGAACAAATTTCTTGAAATAAGAATAAATTATGAATATTGTCATTATTTAATTAAATTTGTTGACATATTTTCCTAAATATTTTAATTTTTTTATTTAAACATTAAGTTCTCAGTTTGTGAGATTAAAATGAACTATGATGGAGGCATAAACAAATTTCATAAACTAAGAAGAAACTACGAATGATTTTATGGAAAATTCCATTCTTTAAAGAAATAAATTCCTAAAAATGTGTAAATTGTTTTATTAATACTTCAATTTGACATCAAAAATTAAAATAGAACCATTTCCACATAAAATAAAAATGAGCCCTTTCAAGTTTATATTAAAATTCTGATTCTGTATTTCTTTGTGCAAGTTATTTACACAACTTATTAGGATTATCTTTTTATTGGTCTCATTCGGAGAAATATCCTTTGTCCTTTACACAGGAAAAAAAAAACAATTCCCACGTAACTTAACCCAGCAACAAAACAAAAAATCTCTATGGAAAATAAGTTACTCCTTCTTCGTTCTGGTACATTTCCTGATTTACTTTTTTTGTTTTTTATTTTCATTTGGATTGTGTGTGTATTGCAAAAAAGGATGATAATAATGAAATACCCAAAGCAATGATGACCAATTGAGTCCTTTGGCAAATCATACAGAATTTAAAACACACAACCAATTGGCAATACTTGAGAAAATACTTCACGTTTCATGGGAAGCTTAAAAACCGAAAGGCAGTGAATGAGATACCCTGGTGCATGATGTAAACACTGAAGTGATGATATTCAAGTATTACACTATTTATTTGCAATATCCTTGGGTCCATGAAGACACGTAGACGAAGGCACACACACACTCTCCAGCTCCCTCTTGGATACACTTACAAATCAACCTCTCAATTGCTGTCCATGTCGATGTTCATTTTTAATCCTCTTGCTACGTTCGGTCCTTTATTCACACACACACACACACACACACAGAGAAACAAAAAAGTAGTGTGTGTGCTTGATTACTTCTCTGTGTGTATGTATGCATGTGTGTAAGTTCGTATATTTACCTTTAAATTTAGTACCAATTGCTCCATCGAATGGTTCCAGTATTTGCACTTGTATCGAATTTTCACCCGTAACATCAACTGTAACCGATGCTGGGGCATCTGGTGGCCGTGCCTGATCCCAGCCCAGTAGCAAACGACGTAAACCTTTGACACGTCTTTCCCAAATGCCAATTTGCTTATCGACCTCATTGCCGGTACAGCCAGTAACCGAGGAACCAGTATTACCTGTAAAAAGAGGCAGGAGGAAGAAAGAGAAAAAGGGAAACACAGAATTAGTATGACTTAACAACACTTAAGCTTTGTGGTCAATGATGTGGGTGGTGGTAATGGGAAAAAATGGGATAAGTCAAAAAATAGAAAGTTTAGAGGAAAATGTCTATGGAGACAATAATAACTGGGTAATATCTAAATAATATCTAAATAGTAACTTTGATTATAAAATTTGCTGAGATTAACATTTAGAACACAAACTACAAATATTCAGATTCTAGAAACCATTTAAAAAATATCCAAATCCTAGGGACTATTCTAAAAAAAAAAACAGCAACAACCATTGATGAGGTGAATCTGCCGTATGGAGCCTCTGATAAAGATTGTAGGCCTAAACATTCTGAGGGCTGCCATTTTCTGAAAAAGTCTATTTTTAAAGGGAAACTCATAGGTCCACAAGAAGATTCCTAATTCTGAGGTCTAATCATTGTAAAAGAACACATGTAAAAAATGTTTAAGTTAGAACGGGTCAAATTTTTTATACCCTCTAAAAAATTCATAAAATGTCGGCACTTTAATGGGGAGACTATGAATATTAAATTTGTTTGTTCGGAATATAAACTATCAATATTCCGATCATATAATATCATATAAATTAACCATTTTTAGACTCCCTAAGGCGATTCTGCACACTAGGACCTTTGACAAATAAAAAGAATATCTCACAAAAAAACCCTAGAGCTGTCATTATTATAAGAAAATCGGAGGTCAGGAAGAAGGTTCACAATTCTGAGGTATAAGCATTTCCTAAAACTTGTGTATCACAGTGCCTATTTTAATTAAAAAAAAAAAAATTAAAAAAGTTCCGACAGGTCGGACTTTTTATACCCTACACCTGTTGTTGGACATTAAAAACGACTAAAAAGATCGGTACCGTTAAATGGAGACTTTCTTATTTGAATTGTCTGCTACATATACTCGGGTAGGAAAACTGGGCTAGGAACTTCAACATACCAAAAATTAAGCTGGATCTTTGTTTGCGTGGGAGGGAAACAGAGTTTTTTATTTCCTACGAATCCCGCATACCAAATGACAACCACTTTGGGGCTAAAACCTTCAATATATCGACAAAGTTATCGAAAAATGTTTTTACGCCACGAGAACCTGAAATGAAAATTACATCCACTTCGATGGGGGGAAATTCGGGCAAAACATTAAAAATACCGAAAGTGGAGCGGTGAGGTGGCTATTTCTAAACTTGCAGCAAAATAGAAAATTTTCTGGCAAAAATGTGTTTCAACTCCAAGAATTTGGGATGACAAGTTGTAACCATTTCGGTGGGAGAATGCATATAAATCTTTCAAAATAAAATGAGGCGTAACCTATATATGGAGGATATATCCAAACATTGAATATTTTTAGTGAAGAACATATTCACTATTCCGGAATGCAATCTCTAAATGGAAATATGTCAGGCTCCAAAAACCTGGATTCAGGCTTCCTCCACTTCGGTGAAGAAATTCGGCTAGAACCTAATCTGGGATCGATATTCATAAATTTCGGTTGAATAATTTGACTCCCAATGAGAACCCAAAATATCAAATAAGAGATAGTATCAAATAGATAGATAGGTTGAAGAATGTGTCCAAAAATATCGATTAATGGTGGGGTCCGTTATAAGGGCTCTATCCCGAAAATACCGACATTTGAGAAATAACCTTATATGGGGGTTAACCTTGAAAGTGGACCAATAATATTTTTTGTGAAGGAAGTTTATCTAACCAATGAGAATTCAAAATAACTTGACTGAAAACCGTGTTCAAACTCCCAAACATACCGAAATTTTAGAGGTACGCTGTACCCTAGAAAGTAGATCGATATTCAAAACTTTGGTAGAAAATGTTTCTACCCAATAAGATCACTAATTATAGAATTAGGAATTAACCATAATCTGAAATACCCAATTGCATCCAATTCGGTTGAAAAACATACCTAAATCCCCCAAAATAATGAAATTCGGAACGTACCGTCATATGGGGACTATCCAAAAAAGTGGACCGACATTCATAATTTGTTGCAAACGGAATGGCAAATTTATGGTGCAAAATATTCCAGGGACTCTCAAAGATGAGTGGTCTCAGGATATTGAAAATTTTCAGAAATCGTATACACTATTTTCTAGGAAAATCGGAATACCGAAAGAAAAGTTGTTATTTTGAAGACATGTCATTTTTGAAACTGGGACTCGAACTAATGGACCTATAATGATCATTTTATGGGAGTATATTATTTAACCGTCAGTGAACCTAATGTCAAAATACCAAGTACCACCAAAAAACCTGAAATGCAGCGGGACCTTTTAATTGGGTCTATATTGAAATATGAACCCTTATTGAAACCTCAAATGATAAATTCCGTTTACAATTTCTTTTGTAACTTAAACCATTTTGCAAATTAACCAAACACCATACATTTATTGGCATTCGAACACTATCTGTCTCATGATACCTTACAACACGTATTAACCACGCACGTATCTGTTTGAAGTTGAGTTTCGACATGTATCGAGTACAATGGACAATCTACTTATGCACTTTTAATTGCAAATTACATTTGTACATTTGGAAAACAAACACATTGAATGGCATTCACACAATAATAGTTCGCATTTCTAAAGGAACTTGAGAGGAAAAATTAAAAAAAAAACTTTTAAAGATTTTGGCAAGGAAAAAACAAATAGGAATTTTCAGAAGCTGAGATTTCGAATTTGAAAAAGATCACAGTTAAATGCTTAAAGATGGAACGAAAATAAAATTAAATAAAAAGGGGAGGCTCATTGTTAAGGTCTGCTAAATTGTTTTTCATCGCAATCATTAAGTTCTTGTGTATGCATACCACAATTGGGCGCCACATTACAAAGTAATCATAGAAAGACGATTAAACATATTATTATTAATTTCAATAGGTCTCGTGATTGGGGCAAATCTATGCTCTGTAAAACTATAAATGTCTTCGAATCGAATCGCATTCTACGTCATTTTTAAAGCTGCTATTCGGTATGCAACAATTTGTAAATTTTGCAAACACCTTGTCACCACCCCTAGGATGATTGGTATTGAAAGTTGGATATATCGGCTCAAATGGGTTATATATAGCTCTCATACAAAGAAGGATGACCCCTTTTGTTAAACTCCGCTGGAAATCCATAACTTTTAACATGGCAATCATTAAGTTCTTGTGAATGCATACCACAATTGGGCGCCACATTACAAAGTAATCATAGAAACCCGATTAAACCTATTATTACAATTTTCTATAGGTCTCGTGACTGGGGCAAATCTATGCTCTGTAAAAATATAAAGGTCTTTGAATCGAATCGCATTTTTCGTCATTTTTATATTCAGATGATGAGTCTTGATTGGCGAGCTACTGGCCTTGGAGTCTTTTTAGACGAGCTGAAGGTCAGGAAGACTTTATGAATGAGCTGAAGTTGGAGAACTAAAGGAAATCTTTTTAGACAAACAGAGAGATGAAAGGAGTCTTTCATAGACGAGCCGAAGGGAGTATTTCATGAAAGCCAGGGAGTTATTATAGACGATCTGAAGGTGAGGTAGTGTTCATAGACCAGGTGAAGTCAGGAAGACTTTATGGATGAGCTGAAGCTGAAGAACTGAAGGAAGTCTTTTTAGACAAACTGAGAGATGAAGGGAGTCTTTCATAGACGAGCCGAAGGGAGTAATTCATGAAAGCCAGGGAGTCATTATAGATGGTCTGAAGGTGAGGGAGTCTTCATAGATAAGGTTAATGTCAGGAAGACTTTATGGATGAGCTGAAGCTGAAGAACTGAAGGAAATCTTTTTAGACAAACTGAGAGATGAAGGGAGTCTTTCATAGACGAGCCGAAGGGCCAGGGAGTTATTATAGACGATCTGAAGGTGAGGGAGTCTTCATAGACGAGGTGAAGTCCAGACAGTCCATATAGACGAGCTGGAAGTCATAGAGCTGGGCATAGAGCATAGAGTCAAAAGCTGGAAGCATAGAGCTGAAGTTAGAGACTCGTTATAGTCGAGCTGAAGTTCAGAGAGTCTTTATAGACAAACTGAAGGTCAGAGAGTCTTTATAGACAAACTGAAGGCCAGAGAGTCTTTAAAGCCGAGCTGAAGACCATCGAGTCTTTATAAAAGTGCTGAAGGTCGGGAAGACTTTATAGGTCAACTGTAGACTTTCTTTATGGAGGAGCTGAAGCTGATGAACCGAAGGAAGTCTTTTTAGACAAACTGAGAGATGAAGGGAGTCTTTCATAGACGAGCCGAAGGGAGTAATTCATGAAAGCCAGGGAGTCATTATATACGATCTGAAGGTCAGGGAGTATTCATAGACGAGGTGAAGTCCAGCCAGTCTATATAGACGAGCTGGAAGTGACAGAGTCTTTATAGAAGAGCTGAAGTTCAGAGATTCTTTATAGTCGAGCTGAAGTTCAGAGAGTCTTTATAGACAAACTGAAGGCCAGTGAGTCTATATAGACAAACTGAAGGTCAGAGAGTCTTTAAAGCCGAGCTGAAGACCATCGAGTCTTTATAAAAGTGCTGAAGATCGGGAAGACTTTATAGATTAACTGTAGACTTTCTTTATGGAGGAGCTGAAGCTGGTGAACCGAAGGAAGTCTTTTTAGATAAACTGAGAGATGAAGGGTGCCTTTCATAGATGAGACGAGTCTTTCACAGATGAGACAAGTCTTTCATTGGCGATCTGAAATAAGTCTTTCATAGACGAGTTGAATTTAGTCATTCTTAGACGATTTGAAGGGAATATTACTACATGACCTGAAGGGAGTCTTCATAACTGAATTTCAGGTAGGGGGTTTTTATTCATCGTTATATTATATTTTTTATTTGGATATGGGGGGTTTTGGGGTCGAGAAAATCATTTTTGATCTTTATTTTTAATTATGACCAACGCCAGAGGGCGTTTCATACATATGTTAACTATTTTTCGTCTATTTCCAGAGAAAAATTAAAAGTTTTTCGGTAAAATTGATAAAAAAAAAATCGAATTTTGAAACAAAATAATGTTATAGGGAAAAATCATTTTTTGAAAAGTGGGAGATTCGAAAATAGTGATAGACCTATGGTTCCTTCACCAAAGTTGCTTGGAATTGTCCATAAAATCATCCGAGGGGTTGGGTTTAATCGAATTGTTCGGCTCCATACAAATTTGCCCGCTCTAATGGACAAATATTGAAACTTGTTGTACCTTTCACTATGAAGCGGAAATATTCAGAATCTGTCAGACGCCTTTATCTAAACTGTGGCAAAACATAAATCAACATTGGAAAATTACTGTCCGGAGGTTCATCAGAAATCAAAATTACCGACTTTTAAATTGGAATATGCGGTTAGTACCGTTTTAATGCTAAAGCTCATACAGAAGACCCGTCCTTTATATGAGGAAACAGCTTTTTAATGAGCCTACGTTTAGTCTCATCGGTTGGAAATAGGATGCGAACTTTATATAGCGGAGAAGTGAGAACATGGGTCTACAAAATTTTTTGCAAGCAAGGTTTTGACCCTCTAAAATATCTAGATTGGATATAAAATTTAAAGCTTATATTTACACAGTAAAAGCTTATATTTACACAATTGTTATCTCACGTTCCGGTTTTTTATTACAAGTAACAAATGTTTTTGTTTCTTTAAATTCCGATCTATTACAAAAAAAAAACACAGCTTCTTCACTTTAAGTGTACTCAATCTACCCCACGCCGAAAAAAGAACTAAACTACATTCCCATTACAATCCATGTGATGGATGCTTCAACTCAGAACTATGGGTCCCAATCAACAAACGTATCAGGAAAAAAATGTACGCACAAAATGCTCAACTAAACTGCATTCCACTCCTCCAATCGAATAATGTTAGGCCGTTTCGACAGGCCTGCTCAACAACGAATTAAGTGCCATCAATTAAGAACATTGACGTATTGCGAAGCAGACTTGTAGAATCAAAAAAAAAAAAAAAAAAACTTAGTAACACAAAATGCAAACACAATTTTCCAAATGGGACCAAGTGAAGTGGAACTACCAAACCATGTTTCCAGCTAAGCCAACACCAAACATTTGGACGATTAGAATATTTATTACACTAACATCATCACCAGGTCTTTAAAGGTTTTTTTTGTAGTTAAACATCAAATGTAAACGTTGTGTTTGTTGCTGTTTCTAAGAATTTGTTTAAATTGTTAATTTTATGTGGGTCGATTTGTAGGCTATTAAAAGGTCATAACATTTAATTTTTTCCTTCTGTTTTTGATTACTTACCGATAATAATGCTTGAGATAGAGGGTCGGGTTGAAAACGATGGCTGACATGTTCCCTCCAAGCCGCTTAAATCGTGTATGCGGATTTCGGCATCTTTCAGTAGGCCATTTAATTTGGTGCCAATGCTATCAACGGAGACTGAAATCGAGAACAGAAACAAAAAAATATGTCAATTTTAATTTAAGACAAGAAACCAATTAGAAAAAATTGATGCTATGTATTGTATATAACTAAATATTAACAGGTCTGGAAAATCGTAATTAGTGTCAAAGTCATTTGAAATACTTTTATTGGAGTTCAAGCACTTCTCAAATGGAACTCTTCGCTTCCAAGTCTGAAATGTGAGCGATCATTCCTAACATATTGGAAACATAGGAATGACAGTGGATAGCGCCACCTAGAGGAAAAATGCAGCACTAAATAAGCAAGGACTACACAAATTCGATATGCATTTCTCTAGACTACCATAGATGGCAGCCTCATCACTTAGGACAGGCTACAGTCAATCAATCACTATTTGAATAAAATAAAAACCAGTGATAAAGGAAAGAGTACACAGGGATCGAATATGATGGTGTTGCTACGTGGAAGGTCCTATGCTCCCGAAGGGAGCAACAGGAGCACAAAAAATCCTTATCAAGTATCTTTCTCACATATTTTAAATGCTATACAGTAGAAATCGTTTATAATGACGACATCTAAAGGTCCAGAAAAAAAGTTCTATCCTCTATTTGACAAACATGTAGTGAAAGGTTAAATGTCTACATAGCTGATTTAGTACAGTTCTTCCATCTGAGGAATATGAAGATATTCCCCGCCAAATCCACAGCCACTCTGTTCACCACATGGACGGCTGAAATGAAGCTCCCTCTGAACATCATGGTTGATGGTGCAATAATTGCGACCACTAACTACCCAAAAATTTTGGGAGTAGCGTTCGATAGCTTATTTAAGTCGTCCGCGCAAGCCACCGCTTTTTGCGATAAGATGAGAAGTAGGAACAAGGTCCTCAAGTCGCTTGCCGGCAGCTCTTGTGGTGCTGATAAAGAGACCTTGTTGACCTCTTACAAAGCAATAGGTCGGTCGGTGGTAAGCCATAATCTTATGGATAGAATTCCCCCACCCAGGCACGTAAGGAGAGACCTACATGAGAGGTCCAACGGTATAAAAGAGAACCCCTAGATCGTGAGGCTTATCGAGCAGGAATTACCAGCATTCACACGGAAGCAGTTACCCAGGCAATGGACCAATACCGTGTGAATGCAGTACTTGGAGTCCACCCACCACCTATAGCAGCAGAAGAACGACAGCTGCCTACACAAACGAGAGTGGTTTTAGCCCAACTGAGATCAGGATGGTGCAGCCGCCTCAATTCGTATTGGGCCCGAATTGACAGCGCGGTAACAAACACATGCTCTGCATGTGGTTTTGGACCTCACGATACGCTGAATCTCTTTAACTGCCCTGCTAAACCCACTCATCTGTCTCCAGAATCTCTTTGGACGCAGCCGTTACAGATTGCAACCTTCCTGAACCTGGAAACAGAGGAGTCAGAACCAGATTAATTTAATACAACAAACATGTAGATAGTTGCTACAACAACAACAACCCTCTATTTGATATCACCTAGAGAGACCAATTTCGCCAAACTCTTGACCGCCATTATGTGCGTTTTCGTTTCAATGATTTTTGCTCTCTTTTTACTCCTCTAGGGAGCATAGGAGCTTTCACATAGCATCACCACCTAACTCGACAAATCCTTGTGTTCGTTTCTTTAATCATTGGATTTTTTTTATTCAAGTAGTGATTGGTTTACTGTATCCAAGATGGTGGGGCTGCCATCTATCGTTGTATAGAAAAAAACGTATAATCGAATTTCTGTAGTCCTTGATTAGTTAGTGTTGGTATTTTCATCTGGATGGCGCTATCTACTGCGATTCCTATTTTCCTCAATATTTTAGGAATGATCGCTCTTTTAATTAAGGATCTCAATACATCAGAAAGCCCATTGGTTTCCAATTCTAGCGGTTCCCAATTGTTCCTGTTCAATTTTGGGCAATGTTTTTTGAAATCGATTAGTCTTTGGGTTATGTTTCTTTATTCACTGGATTTTATTCCACCTAAGTAGGTCTATTGTTCTAGGTGATGAGGCGACTGTCATCTATCGTTGCCTAGAAACAACACTTTCTCGAATTTTGTGCAAATGCTGATGTCTTGGCTTTTTTAGTTTTTGCCTTTATATCCCTGGCTGGTGCTATCTACTAAAATTCCTATTTTCCATTATGCTTCAGTGTCGAAGTCGTTTGAAATATTTTAGGACAATATTATGGAAATTATCACTATTTTAATTAATGATCTCAATAAATTGTACATCGGTTTCTAATTGTAATTTAAGCGGTTCACAATTTCCCTTCTTCCTCTAAAATATTGGAGAAATATATTAGAATTTTTGTTCTCCTGTTATTCCTCTTGGGAGTCGATAAGTCTTTGTATTAAGTTTTTTAATTGATGAGGCAAATGCCATTTATAGTTGTCTAGAAACAACGCTACTTCGAATGTTGTACAATGATTGAGGTCACTGCTTATTATAGATCAATAGTCTGGCATCTATCGCCTCGAACAAACACCTCTTAGATTTCTGTGGGTTGTCTAGAAACAACCCTTTTTCAAATGTTATGCAGTGGCGGAGGTCCTTGCCCATTATAGATCAATAGAATAGATTGTCTGCCATCTATCGCCTCGAAAAAACACCTCTTAGATTTTTGTGAGGTGGTTGGAGCCTTTGCTTACCATTCCTATCATTCCTATTTTGCAATTTGTCAATATGTTGGGAATGATCGCTCCTAATTAAAGATCGCAATGAGGTCCATCAAAAAATCTGTCACTCTCAGTTCAAAAATCTGCACTCTTTTTTTTTACATAGAAGGGCTCTAATATCCCAGAAAAATATTTGTATTTTTGGCAATGATTTTTTGGTCCTCCGGTTACACCTCTTGGGAGTCGATTAGTCATTGTCTTAAGTTTCGTTAATCACTCGTTTTTATTCTATCTAAGTAGATGATTGGATTGTTGTAGGTTGCCCGAGGTGATGCAATCTATTGTTGTCTAGAAACAATGCCTTCTCGAATGGTTGTGGTCCTTGCTTATTATAAACTCAAACATAAGGCAGTGTAGTGCAAATTTGTCATTCCGTTTGCAACACCACGAAATATTCACCTGAGACCCCTGCATTCTTGATCAGAATAAAAATCAATGTCGATTCAGCGTGTCCATCCGTCTGTCTTTTTAAATCCCGATAGAGCTCGCAATGTTTAAGGTAAAGCCTTGAAATTTTGCACATACATTGCCACTATTCCTATAATGATTGGTATTTAAAACATAATATATCGGTCCACTTGTTGGGGGTAGTTCCCATATAAAGGTATTCCCCAACAGTTGATATTTTGAAGCTTTCGGGCACCATTTCCAACTAATCGGTTCTAATTTATTATTTTTGGTTCTCTCGGGGTAAACTTGTTAATATCAATAACATTATATATATTGGTCCACTTTTAGGAGTAGGCCCTACATAACGCTATATCCGAAATGTCGGTAATCTGGGGAGTTTGGGTTGGTGTTTTAACCAAATTGACTGTAAATTTTTATTCTGGATTTTCGTTGAGAAGAAAATCTCCCTATCAAAAATTATTAATATTGGCCCAAGTAGTAGCCTTCATATAAAAATACCACGCTTTTATACAAAATTGTCTGAAATGTGTTTTTCAGGTTCTCGTGGGGTATACATTTGGGTATAGCTTCCATACAACGGTAACAACCCAATTTCGGTATTTTGAAGACTTAAGACGCATTTCCACTGATTTACCCTGATTTAAATGCCCCTTTTAATTTTTGGCATGTTGAAGTTTTCAGTTTTCCAACCTGAGTATCTGTAACTTGGAGCATTATTTTTTTCAGAGAATGGACAAAACATGTTGCTATAAAATGAGTCGGTATAAAATGATAGGCCCTGCCAATCTTAACATCGTTTTTTTCCTCTAGGTGGCGCTATCAACACTGATTTCCGTGTTATGTTATCATCCTGTATTGATCTCAGGGTTAATAGATTGTCAGGTGGCTTTGAATACATTTCATCGAGAGAAACCACGAAAACCACTTAGAAATATATTTTTTCTTTACTGGGATTCGAAACCCATCGATTTATAGTCTGGTACACTGTACTACACCTATGATAGTTGTAGCATATCCTAGGCGGTAAAACTGCCATCTACCGTTGCCTAGAAGCAAAACCTCTTTGAAGTTTTATAGTGGTTTGAGTCCTTGCTCATTTAGTGTTGCCAATTTCCGTTTGTGTTATCCCCCTGTGTTGATACCGAGGTCGGTTATGAGAAGAGACTTCTGGAGGCCTGTATGTCCCTTTTTACAAATATTTAAAACCCAATTTGAAAGATTCGCACCCGGTTCCCATCGGTTTGCAGTTTTTCACGGCCCAAATGATATCAGAGAGAAAAAATGTTTACTCTCTTTCTCTCAATTTCTCTCTTCAATCATGTCTCCCAAAGGTTTTAATTTAAGAGATTTTTGGAGTCTCAGACTTTGTTGTTTTTTATACAATTATTTCAGTTGTTCCCAATTCCATTTTCAATATTATTTCGAAACTAGTAATTTTCAATACTTACACTGTGATCCCTCCAAGGCGCCATGTTGTAATAACATTTTAGTCATTGATCGATTATTGCTCAGCACGGCCACATCCAAAGGTGATAGGCCATCGGTGTTAATACTACAAAGAGAGAGGAAGAGAGAAAAACGAAAGGGAGAGAGAAGAGGAGAATAACAATTAAATATCAATAAAACCATTTTATTTTTTCTCCAACTTACCTGTTGACATCAACATCTGTCGATTCCAATATTGTACGAGCCTTATCCAAATGACCATGTTCGACGGCCGAGAAAAGAGCTGGAAAATAAAAAAAAAAAACAAATGACAGGAATTAATTAAATTATAGCGACAATATATTTGTAAAAAGAGAAAAACAGAATATTGAACTGCAAATTGATTAAAAAAGGAAGTTTTAATTAAACATTTTTTCCACAGTAATTTTTTCTCAGCAAAATACTTTGGAAAATTGTCAAAGTTTTGTTTTTTTATTATTTTATTGGAAAGAGGCCAAAAGAAGGAAAATCGATTTGTTGTGCATTCCACATTGAATAGAGTAATTGGGTTAATGGTGGAAAGGGGTTACAGATAAAAGAGTAAAACAAATTAGAGTTAGTACACAGAGAGAAATTTTGAGTAACAGAGAGTACAGATAATATAGACTATGTAGGTAGATAAATGTTAGCAATTATGTAGATGTCACAATTAGTGTACAGATATTATAAAGGTAGTGTAGATAATGTATCTAGAGTATCTAGATAATTTGTATCTATTTTCTGTACTTTATTATGGGTGGAAATTATAGAGAAAGTGTAGATAATGTATAGATATTATCTAGTGATTGTAGATAACATATAAACATTAGATATACAATGTAGATAATGCACATAAATTATAGAGATATCGTAAATAATGCAATGTACATGATCTAGGCACCGTAGATAATATTTAGATATCATCTACAGATTTCAGATAATATAAATCCACTATCTAAACAACGTAGATAATGTATACGCATTAACTAGACAGCGTATATAATTATGAACATTATCTAGGAAGCGTAGAAAAATTACAAACATTATCTAGGAAGCGTAGATAAATTACAAACATTATCTAGGCTGAATAGATAATGTACAAACTTTATCTAGACAGCATAAACATTTTCTAGGAAGCGTAGATAAATTACAAGCAATATCTAGTCAGCGGAGGTAATGTATAAACATTGACTAGGCAATGTAGATAATTTATAAATATTGACTAGGCAGCGGAGATAATGTATAAACATTACATAAGCAACGTAGATAATTCACGAACATTATTTATACAACGTATATAATTTACAAACATTATTTATACAACGTAGATAATGTACAAACATTATCTAGATAGATAATTTATAAACGTTATTTAGGCAGCGTAGGTGGTGTACAAACATTATCTGGCAGCGTAGATAGTGTACAAACATTATCTAAGCGGCGTAGATAATGTATAAACACGATATACATGATCATGATTATCTAGACGCACAGACGACGTATAAACATTATCTAATCAGCGTAGATTATGTATAAACATTGTATGGACATTATCTTATCAACGTAGATAATGTATACATATTATCTACATAGCGTTAAAAAATATAAACATTATCTACATAGCGTAGATAATTTATAAACATTATCGATATAGCGTAGATAATGTATAACTATTATCTAAACAGTGTAGATAATTTGTTTTAAATTATCTAAATGGCGCAAACAATTTTTAAACATTATCTAGGCAGCATATATAATGTTTAATCTTTATCTAGGTATCTTAGACAATCGGGTATGTTCTGGAACTCACGGCGTGTTCTTTTCACTTTACACATACACTTCACCTCAGAAGCTACCTCCTGTTCTGCTTCTCACGTGAATTGAAATTTTGAACTGCGACAAAAATAAACGTCGACATGGTACATTGCAGAAATAGTGTTGCCATTCAATATAAACTGTATTCGTTTTTAAGATTGTTTCTGTAATTTTTTAGTAATTTCGTTAATTCTAACGACATTTTATTATTATTTTTTAATATTTTTTTATTCGCAACATAAAATATATGTATGAAACCTCTGTAATATCATTAATTTCTTGATTGATTTAAGGGGAACATTTGGTAACCCTATCTTTTTCGGCCTTACTTCAAATCAGTTGTTTGTGTCAAGCAAGAAATTCAATTGAAGAAAATTTAAGACAAACCTTAGTATCTATTTAAAATTTGTTTTTAATGGTGTTTCATGTTCATTTTGTGATTTTAAATAAATTATACGCAATAATAACAAATCAATCTATCATAATGTGCGTTTTTTATTTCAAAAAAGATTTTCTTTTATATGAAAAAACATGAATACACCCGACTCTCACTATGGAAATGTAAGTGTAAAGAATACACCTCAAATGGGTGTAAAGTGTGTTACAGAACACCTCGGCGTGTGTTCGATACACTTCTGCCGTTGAAGTGAATGCCAGAACATGCCCGAATATTTAAAGAATATCTTGGCAGCATGGTTAATGTTTAAACGTTATCTAAGGAGCGAGGAAATGTTTTAATGTTATCTAGGGAGCGTAGATAATGTTTAAATATTATCTTAGCAGCATAGATAATGACATATTTTATCTAGACACCGGAGATTAGATGTAGACCGTAAATATAAATTATCTACACATTTGTGTGATTTAAGCATCATAGATAATGTATCTACATCATCTAAAGGCACAGACAATATATCTACATTATCTAAACGGCATAGATATTGTATCTACATTATCTAGAGAGCATAGATAACGTATCTACATTATCTAAATGGCATAGATAATGTGTCTACATTATCTAAATGGCATAGATAATGTGTCTACATTATCTAAATGGCATAGATATTGTATCTACATTATCTAAATGGCATAGATAATGTATCTACATTATCTAAATGGCATAGATAATGTATCCACATTATCTAAATGCCATAGATAATGTATCTACATTATCTAAACGGCATATATAATGTATCCACTTTATTTAAACGGCATAGATAATGTATCTACATTATCTAAACGGCATCGATAATGTTTCTACATTATCTAAATGGCTTAGGTAATATATCTACATTATCAAACGGCATAGATATTGTATCTACATTATCTAAAGGGCATAGATAAAGTATCTAAACGGCATAGATATGTTATCTACATTATCTTAAAGGCATAGATAATGTTTCTACACTATTTAAACGGCATAGATAATGTATCTACATTATCGAAACTTACAGATACCTAGACACGATATATAAAATAGTAAATTATTTATTTATATTACTTTCTCTAATTTCAATTCAAAGAAATTTTTCTTATAGTGCAAAATAGTGTGTGTATGTGTATGTATATTGGATTCCGAATATTACCGTGTAAATGTAGATTACATTGTGTTAACTTGTCCAATTGGGCCTGGGCCAATTTCAATTGTTTTTTCGACATTTTCGAACGGTGTGGTGTATTGCCACCCTTATTGCTATTCGTCGAGTGGGTGCGATTGCTGGCCGGTAAACGATATATGGCCAGGTTTTGATGATTGTCTGCATTATTTTCATCTACATAGGGTGGAGTGCTACCACCGCTGCCACTGCCGCGGCCACCTGTCGTTCGACCATTTGTGGCGGTGATTTTCATTGATTGCTGTTTCTGAGGAGGTTGCTGTTGTTGTTGCTGTGAATGATGGTGTAGCAGTGAAGGATGTTGATGAGGATGATGATGGTGTTGTTGTTGTTGGTGATTGTGATGTGTTGATGAATGTTGTTGCTGTTGTAGTTTTTGTAGATTTTTGTGACCGTTTTGCGAGTGACGTGAAATACTTAAATTGCTAGCACCATTGTGATTGTTGCTACCCGGTGGTGTCGTCGTCGTCGTGGTAGATGAGGACATTGCCGAGATTTCAGCCAACATTTTACCACTATTTGTCGATGATAACGACGATGTGGAGGATGAAATCGACAACGTCGATGATGAGGATGACGGCAAGGGTGTTGCTAATTTAAGATGATTGTAATGATGGTGTTGTTGTTGTTGTTGCGGCTGTGGTGGTAATAAATATTCCATTTCTTTAAGATCTTGGCTAGTACAAGAGACCGATGAACGTATCTTGGCTACAGATACCACATTCTGTGGTGGCAATTGGTCCGACCAACGGAATGGCACTGCAGTCGAATTCTCACAATATTCTTGTGCTCGCTGTTGTGGGTGTTGCACTAAATATTCTGATTGCAACTGATGATGATGCGGGATATTTGAATGATAATGTGATTGTGCTGGCGTGCCGGATGATTGCTGTTGTGCTGCTCCAGACTCAGCCGCCAACAAAAGCCTTTCAGCCTCTGGATGATAATCTAACTGATTATTGAAATTATTTAAATGATTTGATAAATGCTGGTGGTGGTGTTGTTGTTGTTGCTTTGCAGCGTTTTGTGTCACCGATGCTGTGGCTGTTATTGTCGATACCGATGATAATGATGTGGATGCCGATGATGGCGGCCGTCGACGTAATATCACAAATCCCTCTTCATCATCGGTACTGTGACTAATATTATTGTGGTGATGATGATTGTGGTTGTTGTTGTTGTATTGAAGTGAATTGCTACTATTGGTTGATGAGCGATCTGATCGCAATGTTGCACTTTTTGTGGGACTTAAATTACAGGGTGGCAGTACATTATCTTTTTGGTGGAGAAGAAAGAAAATAAAGAAAAAAATAAAAATTAAATTAATTAAAAAAATTAAAAAATAATAATAAATTTAATAATAAATAAATGTGAAAATATTTTTTTAGGAAAATAAGTGGAGGTAAATAAATGAGAATAAAGTAAAAATTATTAATAAAATTAATGATTTGGTAGCACCGGAGAAAAATAAGAAACAGTAAATAAATTATGTTTAATATAAATATTAAAAAAATAAATTTAATTTGTGTAGAAACTCTTCAAAAATATAAGATATTTTGCTGCCATCAACTATCTAAATAAGTCCTGTTGATGTTACTGCTCTGCTGTCTCCTATGAACGTTAGACCCACAGTCAATCTGCTGCACATAGAAATCCATACGTAGGTTATCGAAATAAGGTCTTCTTAAACTCTTCACATATAGAGAGAGTTCTGAGAAGACCTGCAGAAATTCACTGTGGGTCTTTTGTACACGAAATTACATCATTGGTATTCTTTAAAAATACTACTACTCGAAGTTACCCCTTTAGATTTGCGGAAGATTCTATATATTAAACGGATTGTCTATATAAAAACTTTTGCAGTGAGTTTTCAAGAAAAAATTCTTATTGCCCTCCTGAAGTCCTTTCTATGCCTTTCAGATCGTGGATTTTTAAAAAAGAAAATATTTTTTCTATCAGAGGCATGGATTTTTAAAAGGAAATATTTTTCAAGGCCTATCTGAGGCTTGGACTTTTAAAAAGACAATATTTTTTCTAGGCCTATCAGAGGCGTGGATTTTTAAAAAGATAATATTTTTTTGGGCCTATCAGAGGCGTAGACTTTTAAAAAGGAAAATATTTGTCTAGGCCTATTTGAGGCGTGGATTTTTAAAAAGAAAATATTTTTTCTGGGCCTTTCAGAGGCGTGGATTTTTAAAAAGAGACTATTTTTTCTGGGCCTATCAGATGCGTGGATTTTTAAAAAGAGAATATTTTTTCTAGGCCTGTCAGAGGAGTGGATTTTTAAAAAGAGAATATTTTTCTGGGCCTATCAGAGGCGTGGATTTTTAAAAAGAAAATATTTTTTCTGGGCCTATCAGAGGCGTGGATTTTAAAAAAGACAATATTTTTTCTAGGCCTATCAGAGGCATAGATTTTTAAAAAGAAATTATTCTGGGCCTATCAGAGGCGTGGATTTTTAAAAAGAAAAAATTCTTTCTGTGCCTATCAGAGGCGTGGATTTTTAAAAGGAAACGATTTTTCTAGGCATATCAGAGGCGTGGATAAAAGGAAACGATTTTTCTAGGCATATCAGAGACGTGGATTTTTAAAAGGAAACGATTTTTCTAGGCATATCAGAGGCGTGGATTTTTAATAAGTGAAGAAGTTCAGGCATATAAGAACTATAAAACAATTTTTCTAGGCATATCAGAGACTAGATTTTCACACTCTGAAAACCCTTTCTACTATGAAAAAGCAAAGAAAAAGAAAACCAAACCACCCTAATGTTGACGACTCCCGCAAACGTATAAAGGACCACGATCTGCACTTGGAATGTGCGCACGTTGTACAGAACAGGCGCAGTGTTCGCTTTGGCAGATGTACTCAAGAAGTACAAAGCCGATATTATTGCCTTACAGGAAATGCGATGGAAAGGGACTGGCTTAAGTAAATCAGATTATTACGCCCTGTATTATAGCTGCCATGAAACGAGACATGGATATATGGTTAACAGGAGAATAAAAGACCTCGTCTCCAGATTCACTCCAGTAGATGAGCGAATTGCTATAATCCGTATAAAAGCGAAGTTCTTCTACATCAGTCTCATTTGCGCCCATGCTCCGACCGAAGATAAAGATGAACATGACCAATAATAAATTCTGCTAGGAGATTTTAATGCAAAAATCGGAAGGTAAAATATCTTTGGCAAAAAACATGGTAGTTATCAGCACTAGATTCAAGCATCTCGACATACACAAGACCACTTGGATTTCTCGCGATCGAACAACGAGAAATCAAATCGATCATGTTGTGATGGACGGTGATCGATCTAGACGGTTGATCGGACGTCTAGATCGATCCGGGGAGCGAATATCGATTCGGACCATTACCTTGTGGCAGCTAAGGTACGCTGTGGATTTATAAAAAATATTTTTCGATGCCTATCAGAGGCGTGGAATTTTCAAAAAATATTTTTCGATGAGGCGTGGATTTATAAAAAAAATATTTTTCGATGCCTATATGAGGCGTGGATTTATAAAAAAATATTTTTCGATGCCTATATGAGGCGTGGATTTATAAAAAAAATATTTTTCGATGCCTATATGAGGCGTGGACTTATAAAAAAAATATTTTTCGATGCCTATATGAGGCGTGGATTTATAAAAAAATATTTTTCGATGCCTATATGAGGCGTGGATTTATAAAAAAATATTTTTCGATGCCTATATGAGGCGTGGATTTATAAAAAAATATTTTTCGATGTCTATCCTAGCTTTACTTGGATAATTATTTTTTTTTTTTTAAATCACAAAATATTCTACGGATACATTTGCGGTGCTACCAATCTAATTAAATGACTGTTAAATAAATATTTAAATGTTATATGTAAATAAATAAATTAATATATTTGTATAGTACATAATTATGATACTTGGTGTGTCTGTGTGTGTACTATTGTTGTTTTTTTTTTAAGTAGAACCTTTACCACAATATAATTAATAAATAAATATTAAAAAATGTATTTTTTTAATGACCAAACGAAACACAAAAGATTGAAAAAAACGCCCCTCACCCCCCTTGAGCATCGTTTTGTTGTGGGTTTATTTAATGATTGGTTGACTGGCTGGCTGCAAATATGAAAAATGGTAGATACCCGGATGACCAAAGGCAAATTTTGTTTGTATGTATTTATGTGAATATATGTATACATGTGATACAAGCGTATGGAGATGACCCTCATATATAACATTCAAAAACAAATAACAATAATAATAAAAAAGCAGATGTTTGGTAAATGAATATGAGTACTAAAAAAATATGGAACCAACAATAAAATATGGAACCAACAACAAAATTGGTTAATATTAAAAAATATTTAAAAAATACACTTCACAAAAACAACTACATAACGAAAAAAGGTCAAAATGTTTGTATGGATGATTGGTTATCTGTTTGGTTGGTGGTTTACTTTGTTAACTGCAGTTGTTCGAGTTCATGGTGGTATTGGTGTCAGAATTTTTAATATTTATTTTTTGGTGGGGGTGTTCTTGGCAAACAAGAATTTATTTATTTTATGATATATATGGTATCTTGTGGTTAAAAGAGTTTTTTAAATTGTGAATGTGTTGCTAAATAATATGTTCCCATTTTATTCAAAATTAATTAAATTACATGTGTCAAATGTGGCTGGGTGAGAGAATAAGTAGTGAATATGAGGTCAAATAGGGTCCCAAAAATTAGAGCAACTTCCCAAAATTTATAATGTAAGCTATAATTTGTAATTAGATTTTTCTCAAAGCTCATGAAATCGGCATTTAAAAGCTATTTGGTTATGTGGCATTAAGTCGGATTGGTGATAGCTTGCTTTCATCTATAATAACCCCTTTGCCGATCGATCGATCATCATTTCTAGCTTACCATCAACTGCACTGGCATATTTTGTTGGATTGTATTGCTGTTGCTGTGCCGCCTGTGCATTTTTGAATTGACAAAATTTGGTCAATTCACTGAGGGTATGAAATGATTTCTGCCTTATTAGAGCGGCCGGTGTTCGCAAACAATTGCCAATTGGCAGTAGGTTTTTTGTTGGCGTTTTTGTTTCATTATTACTGCTATAGCACCTGGAAAATTTGGGTGGAGTTTTTTCGATGTAGATAGATATTACAAAAATAATGAAAATAATAACAACAGGAAAATAGGGTCAACATAGGTATGCGAGATATATTTATATATAAGATGTAACGTATGTGTGTGAGTTTGAATGATGACTGTATAGATGGATGGTGATTTTTCACATATGGGAAATTCCATGATGAGAGGTAAAGGGTCATATGGTAAAGGGTCATAAAGTACATATGAGAGATCTTCGAACCATACAATATCTGCAGAAAGACAAACTAACGAAATAAGGATATTTTTCAATATATGAACCAAAGAATCTTTGTGAACCTACTATGGTTTTAATATAGAAGAAAATTCCCTGCAATCCTGTTTTTGGGAGAGAACTCTGGGTGGGACTGCAGAAGAAGACTCCTTGTAGGTCTCCTTTATAGAAGATCTACGAAATATCTGAAAAGCTTTATAACATATTTTTATAGTACCTATAGGAAGCGTCTGAAAAGCCTTGTATCACTAGAAGACCTCTGAAAGCTCTTCTATACCTACAGAAAAACTCTGCAAGGCCTTAAAACGGTTTTTCAAATTCTCAAACCCACACAAAATACCTACGAATCTCTAAAAAACAGTATAAGATCTTTACAGTAGAAACATATATAAAGCACCTGGAGAGCTGTAAATGGGCGTGCAACCATAGATAGTCTGAAAAGATTCTTGTCTTCAGAACTCTTGAGATCCACAAAACATTTTATAGTTCTGTGGATCTCAAGAGTTCTTCTGACTCGAAAATACATAAAGAAACCACCAACGAACCCAGGTGGTATTCTGCACATATTAGAACCATCGAAGGCAACATTTTCCCATTCCCATATTATAGGCCTCCTGATAATATAAAGCTATCTGTATATTTCCTATAGAAAACTTACGGAATATATTCGATTTAATTGAAGTACTATATAGAGAACCTCTGTAAGTTCCTTATCTTCTGGAGGACCCCTCAGGCCTAAAAAAGGACTTGTAAAAGTTCTTCTGATTATAAAAATACTCATAGAAAGCGCCAACGAACCCAGTATCTCATATGTGCGTAGTAGATCATCAGAGGTTACAATACCCTGAGGATCGACATCAGTTCTTCTATATTAATAGAAAAACAGATGATCTTCTATAAACAGAAAAGC